CCTATGCTGGAGCGGCTGCAACACGCGAACGAGCGGATGAGATGCTGGAATCGGCCTCGGCGGGAGCTGCAAACGAGGATTTTTTTTGCTATAACTGGTTTTTGTTTTGCTCCAATTTTTGCTACCACGGTCTTCGATTTTTGCTACCACTCTCTCTTTGATTTTTTTGCTGGATCCATCTTTTTGCAGGAACCACACCATTTTTTGCTACCATGGTCTTTGATTTTTTTCTACCACCCTCCCTTTGCTGGATTCATCTTTTTACTGGAAACACTCCAATTCATGCTACCACGATTCTTAATTTTTTGCTACCATCGTCTTTGATTTTTGCTACTACCTTCTCTTTGATTTTTTTTGTTGGATCCATATTTTTGCGGGGAGACCGGCCGAAATTTGGGCCGGTCGGCCGACGCTTATCACTGGCCCTTACGTAATAATAATGCACCTATTACTGTTGCCGCATTTTTTCAAAGTAGTCTCTGTCGTTTTAGGTAATTAACCCGCGGTACTTTAATAAGTCATTAAGTGGTCAACGGTGAAAAACGTTTCGTTTGTTCGTGGGCTCGGCTGACGCACGGGGGAGCAGTTCTGTAAAAAGAAAGGACACCGATAAGTGCCACATGTGTGGGTGTTAGGGAGTCCGCCCACACATTTTATGTGGTGTATAAGAGGAACAGCCCACACACCTACGTGTGGGCAAAACAAGTAATGCCCACACACCTATTTTTTCCCCTCCTGATCCCTCTCATACGCGTGCGTGTGGGCGAAGTTGATAACGCCCACACGCACGTATGTCAGGCCGCATACCTCCTGGTCCCGCACGCCGCGCGTGACAGTCGCCGCGCGCCCACAGTTGCCATGGTCCAGACCCTCATCCATGTTCGTTTAACTGCAGTTGCCATGTCGTTAAACTACGGTTGCCATGTCGGACAACTGCAGTTGCCATGGTTGCTCAACTGCAGTTGCCATGTATGGTCTGATCTAATGTAGTTGACGTGATTTCAAAATTTTAGGAGTTGTCACATACTAACACTAGGCAGTTGAGAGAGTTGCCATGTGCTCACAAGCATGCTAGGACAGTTGCCATGTAAAAGGAAGAGTTGCCATCTGCTTACGTGCGCGTTAGGGCAGTTGTCATGTACGTGCACGTTAGGGCAGTTGCCATGTACCATGTAAAAACACATGGCAACTCGGTAAAAGAGTGTTGCCATCTCTTACGTGCACACTAGGCAGTTGCCGTGTACCCTGCAAAACACATGACAACTCGGGTAGAAAAGAGAGTTGCCACATTCTTATAAAGCACACTAGAGGCAGTTGCCATGTGCACTGCAAAACACATGACAACTAGCAGCTTGGGTGTGGGAGAGGAGACGGACGTGTGGGCGAGATGGCAAATGCCCACACACTAGCCCTTGTGCGTGCGTGCAAAGTGGCGTGTGGGTGAACTGCATCTCGCCCACACACCAGCCCCTCTCGTGTGGTGAAACGACCGTGTGGGCGACCGGATAAACGCCTACACACCAGGCCAGTCCTACGTGATACTAAAAACATGCCAAGATTCGTGCGCTTACGAACGGACGCGGATCCACGCGTGTGGACGAGATGCAAACGCCCACACGTATGGACGTTAACATTTACGAAAAGAAATACTCCCTCCGTCCGGAAAAAGTTGTCCAGCCGTAGTTCAACTTTTTTTTTTTGCAAAAAACCCCCTCAGAGATTTAATTCTTGTGCAAATCACCCCGCCTCCACCTTCCTTCTTCCCAGTCGGCACCGTCGAAATCTTTCCCAAGCGGAGCCGCCGTCAGGCCTCGCGCGCTAGTGCCGGCCCAGCTCGCAGGGCTAGCGTCGCCGCCCACCTGCGCCGCCTCCGCACCTGCGCCGCCTCCGCCCACCTGCGCCGCCTCCACCCACCTGCGTCGCCGCTGCTCACCTGCATCACCCCTGCATAACGTGTACGGCCTCCGCCGCCTAGCCGAAGCCCCCACTGCCGGCTTCCATCTCCTATGCCGGCGCCGGCCTCCATCTCTCCTCAGTGCGGCACAGGTGACGCCACCCGTTGAAAAGACGGCGTACATGAGTCGTGCCCCGAGCTCCCGCTGGTGCGCTTGCTCTGGCCGGTGCGCTTCCTCTGGCCGCCGCCACCCACCTGCTCGCAGGACGAGTGCTGCCTCCCACCTCTGTTGTTGCCTCTGCTTCTAATCGATTGGCCTCGACTTCTTCCCGCCTCCTCTTCTGCCTCTGCTGGTACTACTCCATGACTTCCTCCCGCCTCCTTTGCTGCATCTGCTGCAAAGTGTATCATTCAAGTGAAATTGAGCAATGGATGAGGAAATTGAGCAGTGTGTTCAATTGATGCTTGTTAAACTCAGATCATTTGAGCACTGAATTGAGTGGATCAGGAATAATCAGTGTACACCCAGGAAGAAGCACAACCTGACCTGATTCGCTTAATCTTGTCTGAGAAGTTTATTTGCAAGAGTAATTCTGATTCGCTTAATTTTGTCTGAGAGCTATAGCCAAGAGTAATTTGATGGAGTAAGAGAAATTTGATGGTAACTTGATTCAGTGTACAAACAGACAAATGCAGAGAATATCTAATTTGATTCAGTGTACAAACAGATAAATGTAGAGACTGTAGCTTAAGCATTGAGTGTAGCTAAGTGTACAAACAGACAATGCAGAGATATGTACTGAACTTGAAAGTGAAATTGAAATTCAAATTGAGTAAAGTTTGCTGGAAAATTCTGAACACTTAGTCTGAAGCTCTGATGCAAAATCATTCTGATGCTCTGATTCAAATTGAATTTCAGAATGATGCAAAATCATTTGCTCCGATGCAAAATCATGCAGTGTAACTCTTGTAATTATTCAGATGCTCTGATGCAAAACCATGCTAGTACCATCCTTGGGTGAATCCAAAATTAACAGTACCTCATTTGGCTAACATAAATCAGAGCCGTCAAAAGTCTATTTTGCATCTAGCAACTCAACTCCAACTGGATGACAGGCCTATGTGTAACCTGTAACTAGCCAACTACAGGGGAAAGGATCACAATTAACTTTGAGCAAGAATGTTTTGTTGAAAGTTTTCTGGAGTGATAAATGCACTCCAAAGAAGTTCAGTTAACTGTTACTGTTGCTGTCTGAATTTACACCGTCAAGAAGAATCAGTAAGATATGTAACAAAGTCAAGAATATGTTGAGCCATCAGTCAGTCTATGTAAATGCATATTCCAGCATGGTCATATAGCAACACCACTACATATAGCAGCAGAACAATGATTCCTAGATGCAATAGTAATAATTTTGTTTAAAACTTCACAAAAATTTCAGTCAACTTTTGAACACAAGTACAATCAGAATATGATCATGTTCAATAGTGATCATGTGCAGTAGCTGAATCCAAGTCGACAAAAATTTCAGTTAACTTTTGAAGTTTCGGTAACTACAGTAACTGAATTTACAGTAAGATTTCTCACTCCATTACTCTGCTGTTAACTGTCTTATTCTGATGTTAACAATCAGAATTAACTGTATTATTCAGTCAATATCTTTGTTCAGTCAAGTTGATGTTCAGAACCTGTCATTTTCTTCCAAAACCTGTCAATTTCTGTCAGGTTTTGATCTATCAAGTTTACTGAATTTTTACTCAATTAGTTTTGATCTGTCAGGTTTTGAACTTTTGATCTGTCAAGTTGATGTTCAGGTTTTGATTCCTAGACACACAAGTTTACTGAATTTTTACTCAATTAGTATGAGATTGTCATGCTTCCTAGTCAAAACTATCATGGTTTTATCTTATCTTACTGGACAGTGGCATGTTCATCTCAAGCATATGTTCAGGCAAATTTGCAGTTATACAGTCAAGCATACTGTATGTTCATCTCAAGCTAACAGTAGTTGAACATTGGAGATCAAAGCATACTGTATGCCCAATGTTGTTTCAATGTGTGGTTGCTCTCTGGAATTCCATGGCTAACAGTAGTTTTAAAATCATCAAGGACGCATCTATACTCGTCTAGCAAGCTCACCTGAGATTAACGGAAGCAGCATCCGTACTCGTACTCCATTCCTCTGCACCAAGTCCTCCTTCAACCGCTGCACAGTCCAAGAGGACAAGAACAAAACCAGCTCAGCTGCTTGCTTCACTAGACAGAAATCAGCAGCTAGAAGACGGACCTGCGCTACCGTGGGCGAGCGGGCAGCAGGAGCAGAGCAGATGCGGCAGCAACGGCGCCGGTGCAGCGAAGAGGGCGGGTCCTCCATCATCAGTCCGCCAGCTCGAGGAGGGAAATGGCAGCGGCAAGACGAGCACGGGGCAGTGGCATGTGGCTGGAGCAAGTCTTCATCTTCCCCATGCCGTGGTCGTCTTCCTCCACGTCGTCGAATTCCGCAGCAGCCGCTCGGGGTCTGGAGGAGGAGCTCGAGGACGAGGAGCTCGAGGATCTTCCATGCCTCCAGATCAAGCCCCAACTCCCTCCAGGACATGAGCACCGCCGCCGGAGCCGGGAAGTCACGGGCTTTGCAGAAAAGGGGATCCTTCCCTCTGGATCTCCTGGTGCGAAGGAAGAGAAGCGGCGAGACGAGGGGAGGAGGCGGCCGGCGCATGGCGAGGCGACGGAGCAGGCGGAGAGGCGGCAGAGTAGGCGGCAAGGCAGCGGAGCAGGCCGCCGGCGCGTGGCGAGGCGACGGAGCAGGCGCGATGGGCTGCGTGGCTTGTCGGAAGAAAGGGAAGGGGTTTTTCGTAAAACTTCGGCGGAGACAACTTTTTCCGGACGGAGGGAGTACACCAGTACGGCGCCGCCGCCACCACCACGCGCGGATGGCCGGTCTTCTTCCCAGGCCGTTTGCCGCCCTCCTTCCCCTCTCCATCTGCCCCAATCTTCTCCGGTGCCACCCTGAGCCTCCTCGGTCTCCAACCTCCTGCAATATTCAAGCCCGCCGGCACCCAATCCGAGCAACCAGCGGTCGATTCGAGTGACCCCCGCTAGGAATCCATGGGATTTGAGGTAGAGGATTTCCTGGGAGAGCGAGTAGGAAGGATGATGGTGGGGTTCATGGGGAAGATGAAGAAGCAGAAGGTGATCCACGACCCTCACGCGACGCCAAGCCGCCACGCGCCTCCTCCCCTGCCGCTCCGCCTCCATGCCGGGACAACGTACTGGGCCTTGCCGGACGCCGAGGACCAACGGTTCAATGCCGCCGCCCACTCCGGCCTCCACCACACCAGCCCGAACCGCTACTCGCGGGCGCGCGGGGATGGAGAACCCCGACGGGCACGCGGGGGCGGGTCTGGGCAGCGACCCGTCCGGGCTCCCCCCACCCCCACCGCCGCCCTTGGACACCGCGGGGCGGGTCTGGGCAGCGACCCGTCCGGGCTCCCCCCACCCCCACCGCCGCCCTTGGACGCCGCGGGGCGGGTCTGGGCAGCGACCCGGCCGAGGTTCTCCCACCGCCACTCCCGCTATCTCCCGGGGGGCGCCCCGTACGACGGGGCGCAGGCAGCCAACGGATCCGCGTACCCGGCCGAGCACGCCTCGCTGAACGGGACCTCTGGCGAGGCGGCGGGGGCCATGGAGAACGGCGCCGCCGCCGCCGAGATGGCCGAGCCCATGGTCCCCGAGCAGTTGTACGAGGATGGTAATGCTGCCGGGGCAGAAGCCTTCTCTATCTGGTTTCGTTGCCTGCCTGCTACTTTGTTGCTAATATGCTGTTGCTTTCTCCTCCGCAGCTGTGGCTTCAGTGGAATAGGCTAGGTTATGGGATGCTGTCACCGTGGATTGCTTAGACTTTGATGCCTGGACCGCACTTATTGAAGAGACGGAGAGGATTGCTGAGGTGAAATTGAAACTGTTGCCTTACCATACAGTGCATTGTTCTCCTTTTTGCAACTTGTTGTATGGATGTGTCATAATTTTAAGCAGCTTATCCTCCTTTTGTTCCCACATGTGTTACATAATCCTTTGGTCATATGCAATCGATATGTATCTTGTAGACCACAAAGTCATGCCAATCTTTGTTATGCATGGATGGTCACTCGCTCACTTGTTTTGATTAGCACATTTTCTTTCTACATTCCTCTGTCTTGTAGGATCCCAGTATATTTTCTGTTTGACTTCATGGGCCTTGTTCCCTGTAGTAGTTTCATCATTGTCCTACTGTAGTCTTGTCAATCTGTCCTTATTCGTGTTTTAGTGAACAACACTAGATATAAATTTGATCTGTTTGGCTAATAAAATAAAATGGATTTTTAACGATAAACAAGTTTATGCTAATGCCATATTTTTGTGTATTCCTGCTCAGAGCAAGATATTGAAAATGCGGAAAGTGTATGATGCATTCCTTGCGGAGTTCCCTCTGTGCTTTGGCTATTGGAAGAAATATGCAGATCATGAAGGCTGTCTAGATGGTGTCAATAAAGTTTTTGAGGTGTATGAACGGGCAGTTTTTGCAGTTACTTATTCAGTGGACATATGGTGTAATTATTGTCAGTTTGCGATTTCAACATACAATGACCCAGATGTCATCAGAAGGTAGCAATTGAATACCCAAACTATTCTGATGAAGTTTTTAACTTCTTTTTGTGTCTTGACTTTTGTTAACCACTGCATTTTAGGCTGTATAGGAATACATGACGTTGATTTTACAATACTTAGCACCTGAACAGGAATGCTTGATGAAATGCTTTATAATATAGCACTGTATATTCGCAGTCCTTGTGATAGTGTAGGTCATGGCAATGTTGCATATATTCAAATTTTGGCATAGGCAGTGTGTTCTTAGACTCCATGCATGTCTGTTAGTTGTAATGACTAATCTCTCTCCATGAAGTACATCATCTGTTTGACCTTTTTCTTTTTGTAGCAGCTATAATCTGTACTCCCTTCATCTGGGTTTGTAGGGTGTGCGCAGGTTTTTAGGTCCTCAACGTGCTATATGCCACCGAAAGTATGTCTATAAGCTTCATTCGAATACAAATCCAGTGATATGCTTTTGGTGGCATATACACATGTTTCGTTAGTCAAATTGTCGAGGACGTAAAAAATCCGCTCATGCCCTATAAACCTGGATAGAGGGAGTATAAGTATTTTCATATAGCCAACATTAGTCATTTAGTGCATTAACTAAGTGGCCAATTTGGAGATCACATGTTTGTGCTATACAAAGTACTGAAGTATAGATCTATCAAGAAAAATAGAGTCCTCCTTTGATGCAAATGTAGCTTTCACTGTTTGATCGTACAAGCCTTCATTCATTTAGTGTTTCTGGAATTATCTAATGTATTCTTTATCTGAGGATTGATTATTTCATTCTTTCATCAGCAACTAAACCCACTGTTTTTTTCTACAGACTGTTTGATCGGGTTTTGGCATATGTTGGAACAGATTATGGTTCCGAAACATTGTGGGATGAGTAGTACATCAAGTATGAAGAATCACTTTCAAGCATGGAGTCATCTAGCTGTGGTATACACAAGAATATTAGAGCACCCTATACAACGGCTTGATTGGTACTTTAATTGGCGAGTCATTGACATTATTTATGTATTTAAGTATTTAAGTATGTTTTCTTGTCAGTTGCCACTTCTATTTATATTATGACTTATCTACTACGTCGTCCTAAAATAGTACAGTGTGCAGGCATCCCAAAATTTCGCTCCCGATGAATCATTTATTCCACTGAAAAAACGCTCGCTCTAAACAACATCACCATGAAATTATTTGATCTGGCCCGTGTTGTGTCGGCTCTGATTCAGTTGCAATTGAGTTTGTGTTGTTATCGCGGATTAATATTGTTCTCACTTATGCTGACTAGATTAGCTAAATTATGATCAATGACTAGCTATTTATGCTAACTGCCTGCTTACTTTGGGGAGTGTGGATGACTGTCATTTTCTATGTGCTTACTCTGCTTATTATCTGCATGTATAATGTTGTTTGCACGAGCATGATTTTCTATGCTGTGATAATAAGAGAGTAAATTGTAGGTGCCTTGCACGATGGTTGGTCATACATTGATGGAGATGATTGTCTAATCAGGGTGTTGTGAATGTGATTTCTCTGAATGCAATCCTTTTGCCAATAGGCGATGTTTTAGGAAAAGATCAGAGTGCACAGTTGAACTGTTTACGTGGAAACAACCATTTGGGAATACATAGAGTGGTTTTTATTAGTAGAAGCAAGGTAAAAAAAAAGATAGAGGGGAATATGGGGCCAATAACTTGTTTTCTAAAAAAAATAGTCACTGTTCTTTTTTAGCTCTCATCAGTTATTCACACATTTACAAGAATTTGTTTACATAGGGACCCAGACTTGGATTGGTGACAAGCTTCGCTCACACATTTACTTGGAGTTTGTACAATACACACAACCTGGATCGATTGAACCAGCCAATAGCTGGAAACCATAATTAGAATCAGGGCATTTCTATTAAGGTCTATAGATCACAGTTAACTACAGGGAGGTAAACTGTAGTGATATTTCACATGCTACGCTTGCATCAACAAAACATTCATGTGTATTGATTGCATTTTCCACTGTATTTCTGATGGAGCAGGAAACAAATGAGACATTCCCATTCACAACTGTTTATGGGAACCCAGACTTTTCGGACCAATCAATAACTACCAATTATGCAAAACATGTGAAACAACCAGTAAGTATGGGTACTGATGGTAAGAAAATAAGTATCAACAGAAAGGAACGAACTGGAGCCTATAGTGCTTACAGGGAGCCAACCGTGTGTTTGTGACAACATGGAATGAACATTTAATCGATGTATCTAAAATTATATACTCTCTCTGTTCCAAAATTCTTGTCTTACATTTTTCTAGATAAGGATGAACCTAATACTAAAACGTGACTTGATACATCCGTATTTAGACAAATCTAAGACAAGAATTTTGGGACGGAGGGAGTATTTTAAATGTGCAAACGAAGGGGCTGGAATAAAGTGGGTTTTCAGATCATAGATTTTTCTAACTCACCGTGGTCCTCCTCCTCCAGACCCTGTTCAACCTCATGAAACCAATTTGCGCGTCGAGGAGCCTAGCTCAGCTAGCTGTTTGCATGCTCTGTAGTTCCTATTCTGAACATATGGGTTAACTTCCTGAACCCATGCTTATGGCATCAAGTATTACATAGAGTTTTTTTGCTTAATCTACTTGTCTATAGAAGAATCTGGATGTTTCATTTGCTTCAGTTACTATCAGCAAGAACACATTGTGAGTGCCAGATCTTTAACTGTTTGCCAATGAATGTATGGTCCTCCAACAGTAATTGCATTGGTCGTAGCGCACCCGTGCGTCAGGATGATGTACACAGCATGGGCATTAATACTAAAATGGTGTATGTCGATAATGAAATATCCAAAGATACACTTGCCCGAATCAATTTTCTTCTCTCTGAAATTGTTTCTTATGTACTCCCTCCGTCCCAAAATTCTTGTCTTAGATTTGTCTAAATACGGATGTATCAAGTCACGTTTTAGTATTAGGTTCATCCTTATCTAGACAAATGTAAGACAAGAATTTTGGGACAGAGGGAGTAGATGCTATGTTTTTACAATTCCAGAACACATATGCTTGCTAATGTGATTACTTATTCATTTCATTAGCTAGTGTGTTCCCATCGATCCATCCATGCACTGAACCGATACTTTTCTTACTCTGTTCAGGTCACAATCACGAACGAGCAGCAAAATTTGCAGTGAACTACTGGCATAAGGCAGTGAAATACTTTTTGCTCACGTGAGTGGAAGTTTGGAACATAAGAAGAGCAAATAACAAAGTGTATGCACTGCACGTATGCTACTACTTAGATCCTTATTGCTTGTCTTGCAATGAAGTACAGGTCCTTCCATATAGGACTCACAAACTAACTAAAGATCAAGTATTTCGACTAGGAGCTTATTACTTATCTTTGCAATTTTATTATCTCAGAAGCATAAAGGTAAAATGGGATAAATCGCTTTCTTTTAAATGGGCTCCGTTCTGAATCTGCATTAGCATATCAAGGCCATAGACCATAGATATGGATAATTGACAGGTTGCTCTTTTCTCATATTTTAAGTTGATAGGGAAATTTTACATATCACATGCTTATAGGAATGACTCAATATTCTCATGGCAGAATGAGGATGGGGCATTCCGTGGTCCAACATCTCTTCTACCATCAGGGCTGATGACATTCTTTGGCAATGCTAAGCCGCTTGATAAATCATGGCATGAGATGGGCCTTGAGTATAATCCAAGCATCAGCCCTTGGTGATCTGTGGTGATGCAGTGCTGCACCTTAATGGAAATATGAACCATGGCTTGATGTTCCTTTCAACCTGTACAAAGCTATGTGGAGGAAGTATGTAGAGATTGAAATGGAATTCCTTTTTTTTTGTGAAGTATTGAAATGGAATTCATGACACTATGTAACTTTGCTTTCTCAAGTACTCCCTCCGTTCCGAATTACTTGTCGCACGTACGGATTTATCTAATGTATTTTAGTTCTAGGTACATCCATTTTAGCGACGAGTAATTTGGAACGGAGGGAGTAATTGAAGAAATGCTCCAAGAATAAGGCCACCATCAATATGTTTGTTCTTTTATGGTAAAAAGAGTCTGCACGTGAATTATCACTTTTTATTTGTCGAGAAGTTTCTTACCTTTGTGCTGGTCAATTATTTTTATGTATATTTTGATAATATATTTTTACAAGATGCATTAGATCATTGTAGTATAGTTGAAGGGTATGTTATAGATGTACATTTGTGTACTATTTGTAGCGAACATATCTCCAATTGTACTATTGGAAATTAAGGAAATTTTGGAAAATTTTGGCGATTGCTATGCAGCGAAGCAAAGACCTTTGGATCAACGAAACTGCCTTATGTACGATGTTTTCCCATACAAGAGACAGGCCCGTTTCCCGAGGTTGGGCCTATAACACCAGATCAGTCTGATCTTACGAAAATCATACGAATTTTGATCGTACTTAAACTTATAGCAGCGGCCAATGTGTAATACGACGTACTATAGATATCCCTTCATTTTTGTATTGTGACGTGAAAAGTATTTACATAAATTTATTGCTGCTGAGATAATCCACTGACTTGACTACCAGTACATTGTTCTCCAAAAAGCTCTCCGACGGTATTGGTTTTTCTAAAAAAAATGTTCTTTCTTTTCCCCCTACTCCAAGGCTATGACCGAAACCCTAGCCGCCGCCCCATCTACTTCCCCTCTCATTGACGTTGGGGCGTGTCGCTAGGCAAAGCCCGTGCAGCGCCGATGGCGGCGGGGAGGTGCTGATTGGGGGCAACCTACTCATGGAGGAGTGAGGGTTGTTGCGGGATTGCGAAGGAGATGCCTACTCGAGGAGCACTGCTACATGGCCGATAAATTGTGGCCGATGTCTGGACGACACAAATTGTAGCCATGTATCAATGTCTTTTATTGGGCTACATCCCGCGATCACTAGTGTCATCTGATTTTCGTTCAGCACTCCATCGTTTGCCAAGTAGTTTCGTGTGCTCAAGTGGCGGTCTTCGTCAGGTGGTGCTCGACGGCGGCGTTGGCCATCCTACACGACAATCTTCCATGGTGGCTCGACCTGGCTAGGTCATCAGAGAAGAGGGAGTCAGTGCATGGTCCTAGCGGCGGCGAGCTCAACATCAGACCCAGACTATTCGTGCGGAGGCATGGGTGTTTTTTCTAGGTTTTCTTTTGGGAGTCTTGGAGTTTGGTTTGGAGCCGCGAGCTGATGTCGCTGTTCCAATGTAGAAGTAATGTTCTCCCTACTCTTTCCCCATTTCGTTGGTGTGTTTATCACCGACAGAGTGACGTGTGTAGCTGTGTCTCCGACAGGTCTTTCGGGGTCCGGTCGGCTTACGTTTCCAGTGGATCCATCTAGATTCGCCCGACTTTCGTGGTCTTAGGAGCTTCTACATGTCGTTGTTGGCGTTTTCTTCTCCGGTGCGGTAATTTACTTCACAGATCACGGTTGGCAGCTTCTCCTAGTCTGCATTGATGACTTTTCAGTCATTGCTTCCACAAGCTCCTAGGTTTTAAAAGGTTTAGCATCGAGGCTCACGGCACACCACCCATGGATGCAGGAGGAACAAGACTTCAACACCCCAAGAATATAAATTTTATTTTCTTTTTCTGTATGGATGTGTTTGTGAGGACTTGTGATGCTTAATATATGGCCTTAGGCCCTTTCACAAAAAAGTAAAAACTATTGATTCTTCTCTATGAATTTGGCACAACACTATTAAGTCTAGTTCTTTTAATAATAGGATTATCAGGGAATGGTTGCTCAATTGGAGCACCAATTCCATATTGAAGGCCCTCTATTCAGGAAATTATGGTTCTTTTATCAGGTATCTTTTATCTACATTTAATTTATGATTTGCAAGCTTACCTAAGCTTACTTAGGATTTTAGTGGCAACTCGAATGCGCATCACCAAAATAGACAACATCAAATGTTCATGGACACACATGGACGTGTCTGCAGACAACGATATGGGGCAGAGGCCACCAACCAGGGGCACCAATTGTTCAGGAACATTGATTTTGGTGGGGTGTTATGGCGGCAACTGCCTCCACAGCCAGAAGAGGTCCCAACCATTGTGGCAGCGGACGAGGGACAAGGGTGGGGAGGAAGGTCAGCGGCTGGGTGTTGGGGAACGTTGCATGGGAAACAAAAAAAATTCCTACGCTCACCAAGATCAATCTAGGAGATGCACATCTATGAGAGGAGAGTGGTGTCTACATACCCATGTAAACCGAAAGCGTTAACGATATAGAGATCGTGGTTGGTGTAGTTGTACTCGCATCGAGATCCAATCTGATCCAAGTACCGCACGTGCGACACCTCCGAGTTTAGCACACGTACGGCTCGGCGGCGTACTTTCCTTCTTGATCCAACAAGGGAGGGAGAGGATGTAGATGAGATATGAACCAACACGACGACATGTTGGTGGTGGTGGCAGCGGAATTTAGGCAGGGCTTTGCCAAGCGCGTACCGGTGAAACATGGGAGGAGTTGGGAGAGGTAACGGGCAAGGGTCGAAGGGGGCCTGCACCCAACGCCTCCCCACCTTTATATAGGCGTGGAGGGGGTTGGTGGCTTGCCCTCCAAGGCCCTAGGGTCGTTGGTCAAAGGGGGAGGAAGGAAATCCCTCCTTTCCTTCCCCACCGATCGCTATCCCCCCCCCCCTTTTAGGGATCCTGATCATATCCCTTCCTTGGTGCGCCTAGACCAGGGTTGTGGGGACTTTCCCCACTACCCACGTTCATGTGGCCCCCCCATGTAGGTGGGCCTCACTCTGGAACCTTCTAGAACCTTCTTGGTATAATACTGAAAAAACTCGAACTTTTTTCGGAACCCCGATAACAACTTTATATATATGAATCTTTACCTCTGGACTATTCCAGAGCTCCTCGTGACATCCCGGATCCCATCCGGGACGCCAAACAACTTCGGATTTTCCACTATTAATATCTCAGTGAAGGAAATACGCCCTAGAGGCAGTAATAAAATTGTTATTTATATTTTCTTATATCATGATAAATGTTTATTATTCATGCTAGAATTGTATTAACCAGAAACTTAGTACATGTGTGAATAC